ATATATATATATATATATATATATATCGAGCCTTTTCTCTGAAATTCAATTTCCATTTCAACTCTGCCGGGTCGTTCTCCCCTCGTGGTAGTAGTTAAGTACCAGTATTTATTGCTGGTGTATTGCTGTTGACGATGCTGAAGAGTGGCACCACTAATTTCCTCACATAAATTGACAAGATGGCTAGGAGGGTACATTCCGGGAATTTTGAGAGAACTGTCGAAATTTAACAGACAGTCAACGGATGGATGGCTTGGCAGAAAAGCCACTACGCATCTGACAAAACTGATGAAAACACAAGCAAATTCAGACATACAGAACCACGGCTTCCCTCAATATTCTGATTCTGGTTGCGAACTGTATGAAGTATTTCGCATATGACATCTGCGATGCGTGCGCGAGATGTGGGCAACCAGGCAGATTGAAGTTTGTGTCATAACGCACTTGTATGCAGACTTTGCGTTCCTACCCCAAAGGCCTGGGTTTCTGGATGACGCATATGATGTCCCAAGCGTCAGTACCCAAACAACCATTAAAACGCGTATGTCCATTGGCGTGTGTACTTGCAGTGTTTTACACCGCCCTCAACCCTCCCATAGTGTTGCTGTTTACGAAGGGTGGTCACAATCTAGGTCCTCGCAGATCGGGGTCCGATTCTAATTCAAGCAAGGATACCGTACTATAGTTTGAGGTCGAACACATATAAATCCTAACAGTGCCAAACCAGGTGTTCAGCTGCCCTCAAATGCTGATGCACTACTCGACCTGATGAGGGAGACCGTGTATGCTCGCAAAGTTTACTTTCAGATTTTCGGTCAACGTGACCAAACCACTGAACTTGTTGCTGTTGCAGCAAACACCTGTGACTTAAATTTCTGAAGCGAGTTGGATATTTTGCCAAGCCTATGAACCTTTAAAATATTCCTTAGTCACCAATGGTCCTGTAAGAAAGCGGGCAAATTTCACAATCGTGAGTGAGGATTCGGTGGGTTGCTGCTTTGGATCCAGGAGTCTTTGTGCGTCAACTGATTTCGCTTCCCATCTATAAGGTCCTCATAAGTCGCACAAAACCGTATCGATATAAGTATCAATCTCTTTCTTGACTTTAAAAAGGATGGTAGAACCCAAGCATCTAAGTCCACTGTTGCTTTCAATCTCACCATCCATGCGATTGGGTAGTTCTTGGGTTATTGCTTACATAGAAAGGAATCTTGTCTCTTCTGTGCTGATCGCATATCTGACGGGCTCTGCATGGCAGATGACTTGATCAGGAACAGTTTGCGTATCTATGTTTTCACCAGGTAAGACTCTCATCGGCACGTTCTTGATCTGCATTCCAAATGTTTGGACACAGTTTTACGCTAGAGTATCCCTCCAGAGCCTGTTGCATCACCCAGTCGATTACAAGGTTGACTAACACCATTGACAAAGGACATCCTTATTCAACATCAGGATCGACATCAAACTCCGATATCTGTTTACCGTGATCTCTGACCCGAGGCTTCTTTGACAAGTAATGAGCTTTGACGAGAGCAACGATTTTGACTGCTACACCATCAGCCAGGAGGATAGTTCCCAGTGGTGGACAGAACAAAAGTATGTTGAGCAGGCAGTTTGACTCGATGTTCCTGAGGTCTATGTAGAGTGGATATCTGATCCACGCAGCTTCTTTTTGAGTGAAAGCTGCATTGATTGGTCTTGTTTGAGCATCTTGTGCTTTTGAAATTTTTTTCGAGCAGTACCGAAACAATACTCCTAACGTTGATATCTACGATGCCGACTCCGCGGTAATTGCTTCAGGCTGTTTCGTTACATTTTCGAAGGATCTAAAACAGTCAGAATTGACTCCTTTCAAATAGAGTAGAATTCTGTGCGTACGCCTCCTCATGCACCATCATATATTACTCACCTAGCCGCCCCACACATCGATTCGACTGCTCCCCCGGAGAGTTTGTCTCCTGTCTCCCACGAATAAGAAACTCCCATCAGACACCTAGTTTAGTTTCTTTTTCTTCAGTTCTCACTTGCCCAAGATATAGAAACGACGCTCTTTCCCACCCATACTCAATTTGTACAAATCGTCATGCTGTCCGGTAAATTCTGAATCTACACAGCTCCGTTCATTTATTGCATCCAGAAGTAGTCTACGGGGTGCCTGCAAGACGCTCCAAATGGTGATCGCTTACTCCTTCCAATCTTATCGTGCTTTGCAACCGGGAGGTAAAAATTCGCCAACGATAAGATTGGTAATCGCCAACAGTGCTTGATTACAAATGGAACAATTATCAACAGCTTGAGATCGGCTACGCAACAGGCCCGGAAGCCAAAAACCATTCAATGATGGTGTACAAGGTGGCCCTTCGTATGCTCTAGGCCGTATGCCGAAGCTTCCTAGACTGCTCGCCATCGAACACGTATACATGCACACAAGCAAAACACAGACACGTACACGCCTGTCACATCTAGCTGATAGTTGACATTCAAGGGCGCACCAATTATGGAACATAGTGGCGAATCCAGATAACGCTGCGCTTATCCTGTACTCAGTTGACTGTACGTTCTTGAGAAAGACTGTCCACCCACCCCGAGCATTGGATAACATCTTATTTCGCTATGCTGTTTCAAGGATTCAATAAATAAATGAACCCGATCGCTGTCATTTCTTCATCCTCTCTCCATCATCATCAAGGACAGCAACATCAGTGTTGCCACTGATGCTTCACTGCCGTACAACCATAAGGTTTGTCTCTCCATCCCATTAATAACCCTCCTCTTGTAGAGCCAGTACCCAGGACTGATGAATTCGTTCGTCATGCATCGGTTTTGCGCGCAACATCTGCTCGTCACGTGGCATCGACATCCTTTTGCATCTTCAGATCAATCTTCAAGCCCCGACACCCAGTCTACTGGCTGCCTTCCATGTGCTTACTCTGAAGTAAGCAGGACAACAAGCTGCTTTGGCACTCACACTGGACTCGCTTGTCATTGATGTGTGCTGTGTCTCAGAAACGAGCATTCAAGATGCAAGCACAGTGATTCAACTAACCGGGCGGAAGTATCCTTACTTGACTGGATACCTGTTAATAGCCGCCTCTGCGGTTCGTCTGCAACGTCTGAGGGAGTCTTATAAGCGGGAAGTCGATCGATGTATGTTTATCGTGTCTGCTTACGCCCCAACTGACTGTAGCTCCGATGCTACAGTCTTACGACGTCCTGAATCTCCTGTTGCGGTGAGCTAAGAGCTCGGATATCTTGGTGGAGATCTGAATGCACAAGTGGGCAGACTTAGCCTATCTGAGACTCAATTAGGAAGTCGACATGGATTGGACTCGGTACATACGGACAATGGTGAACGATTGCTTCAGCTGTGTGCTGATCGCAGGCTGTTTTTATGCAGTACTAACTTCCGAAATAGCCGAGGTCGCCTGGCCACATGGTGTCCTTCAACTGCAGGCCGGCTACAAACTCAAATCGATCACGTTGCCATTGGCTACCAATGGTGCGGATCAATGCAAAAAATCGCTCAGCTGTAACATCCTGTTATGTTCTCTACTAATCAGTCAATCAACCTTGTCAGTTAGTTAC